ACTCTGCTTAGGTCCCCATATGCACCAGTGGTCCTCACGTGTAGGTGTTCTGTCTTAAAATAGTCCTCATATGTCACGAAAAACACATCCACACACACATGTACAAATGTAAGCTGATTATTTTATTGCCTTTTGCCTTTAGGCATGGGGCAGTTAAAAGTCTGAGCAGAAGCATCACCTCGATTCCTGCCAGACAGCCAGAGAAGGGTCGATCCAGCAGACGGGGCTTATATGTAAGAACAGTAGTGCCTTTCAGAATAATTGCATTMGTGTCGAAACTGGCCAGGTCCTCCACAACCACAAATTCAGTTCCTGAAATCAAACAAGAACACATTTAAACCATACGGTGACCACAATGCACTCATCCGTTCAGACTTAAAATGAGAAATGAATTAATTAGACCTGAAGAAAGTGTTGAAACTGATCAACTGAATGTTAGATCTAGTATTGCATTTTTATACTTTCTGATCATTGYAGCCRTAAGGTTTGAGGAGTGTCTTRTATTGTTTTCTTGATGTAGCATGAACAAAAGTTGGTTCCCACCTTCAGGGGTATAACCAGGAAGAGATTAAAAGCTTAGAAGGAGTTTTAGAAGTGTTTGTGTGCAGTCTCTCCTTAGATTCAGCTGGGACAGACTGGACTRTTTTGTTTTGGTTTCAGATAAGATGAAGGTCATTTTACTCTGAGGCCTGCACGGTGCTGTGTGCTGGGCTGATCGGAGTGAGACGAGAATAAAGCCTTTTTTAGAAGAGGTCCAGCTGGTTTTCTGCTGTCATTATTATTACTTCCATTTATTGATGTGGCTTAGGTTAATCTCTAAAAAGATGGAACCAGATGTTTACATAAACTGTATAAAATGTCATTTTTTTACTCAGTCTGACATTAAATAAAACTCAATCATTCCTGTTTTAGGTCTGTTCCCAACATTATTTCTCTTCGCCAAATGCCGGAATAATAAGATGATAAGATTTTCAGCCCATGTCAGTACAGGACCCGCTTTACTGTAGATAATAAAACTCCTGTACCAGTTTCAGCCAGCATCTTCACAAAGTTTATTTTACTTTTGTTTGGGATTGATAAAACATGTTCATAATGGGAGCACAGAACCTGCAGTGAGATGGCAGGACATTCTCATGTTTATAATTGTGTAAAATCTTGTTGGAAAAATATGCGTTGTTCAAAATGTTATGTCCGAATAAACAGGATTCAGTTGT